GCAAATTTCTCCTTTCTTTCTAGATTGTTCTTTTTACTTAAACGGCTTCAGGAACAGCTGACAACACGTTGTTCCGCTTGCAACGATCCTTTCTGCTCCCGGCTGTTATCTGACATATCTATTACTCTTTTATACGTTCTCAGAAAAATATTAACCGTTTGAGGTTGCATAGTACTCCATTGAAAGTAAGGTCTTCACTATAAAATTCTAAATGGGGTCGTGGAGACCAATGGCTTGATTAAATTGGAAATTCAAGTGTGGTGCGCATCGCCAATTTTTGTGTCTAGAATGTACTGAGACCAACGGTAGGCAATGATGGCTTGTGCGTGAATTGGGTTATGGTGGATAGGAGTCGCCCGGAATCAACATAAGTCATTCCCTGAACATCCTGTTTTAACGTTAATGTCGACTGATGAAAATCATAGTTTTCTTCCCTCACGTACTGGTTTTTTGCCACAGCGAACTGTACATTGATAGCCCACCTGCCACAGTATGCAAATAGCATTTTAAACTAGAGGCCTAACAGCACATATGCTGAGATCCGGATCCTCATTTTTAAAATCATCATTAGTATTATTTACCATCAGGAACTTTTATTTATAACTGGCATGCCAGTCAGTATACAAACTCCGGTTTGTTTCGAGTCAAGTTAACTACCTAGGCAACCGCGCATTCGGTCACTTCCCTCTTACAGCTATGTCTAGTGTGAATAACCGGTTCTTACCATTTTTTCTGAATCGTCTGGGGTCTCAAGGGACGAAGAAGGCCGTAGATTAAGTAGGTAGGATACACCCACGGGCACGTGCACTAGAATAGAAACAGTGGCTGTCAATACGTGATAATCTGTCCATGGCTTCCCTTTTTGAACGAAACTTGATGATTCGTGCTTTCAGTTGTCAACTTATTTTCTGCACTTTTATCTCCGATACCCTAAAGCACATTACTCTGAACTGTTTCTTATAGTTAACAAGGAGCTTTACTAGGAGTGACGCCAAAATCAACCCCGTTGTGGATGGAACATATCGGGCCTTCGGCGGAAGCGTCAGCGGAACATTTTGCGAATTAGTAGGTGGTTCTTTGTTGTGTATTTGTCTTTTCAATCTACAAAGTTTGTAGTTTTCACGCTGTAACCCCAAGGTGGGCTCTGCTATTGAAATATTATACCGGAAGTTAATTAAATGAGCGCCCATTTTATAAAGATAGTAAAATTTGCCTTTGATTCTCCGGTCTACTAGCCTTATAAACTTGAGTGAACAAAACAGCAACCCAAGGATTGAACCCACAGATCTTGTTAGCGGGTTACTGTAGTGACCTTGTGGGTGTTGCTTGTGCAGGTTATCCTTCGAACCTAGGTCAGGATGCATAGCTAACTCCGACCAAACTACTACTACTACTGCTTAGTCTGTTGAACTCACTGTCGGCCTTGTCTGCATTTGTAAACTAGGTCTGAGCTCGAAATGCCGTAGCTTAGTGGATTTGGAGGGTCTTCGTTGTGTCGTCTAGTTTCGTTTGCGGCTCCACATGTTGGTGTTTCGCTAATTTCTTACTATTGTAGTCTGTATTTCAAATAAAGGTGTAATCTGTAGGCAAGTAGTACACAACTTAACTGACATAAACTTTAAGATTTAACATCGTGGTTTTTCACCCACCTGGCAGCTGGCTTCAGTGACCACCGACAAGTTATCTGCATGATGGTCGCAGCAACCTTCCGTTTTCATTTTGTCATCAACAGTCTGTACTTTGACGAAGCCCTGATAACCGCCCGAACAACGCAAATTATGCTCTCTGGCTGTCGTTTTTCGGCTACCTCCGAATTGTCCAGCTCGCAGTAAGATAGCACGTTGTCCTGCTCGGGTTGTGCTGCAGCTATTTACATTGATATACCATCTTACTGCCTCGATAAGGCTCCTGTACCCTTGAGTTACTCCCTGCGTAGCTTCAGTGCATCTCAAACCATATACCTTGTCAGTTTCTCCAACAACAAAACGTTTTTTAACCATTCAATAAAATTCCCTGCCTTGGGTTTTTACTTAGCCCTAGCAGCATTCTAGAGCCTTTTTCTAAGCTGTAGTCCCTGCTCGATAAATGTGCATTTGGGCACGCTGTCAGTGGGAATGAGGTTACCAAAACTAACACATTTCTACTCGCAAGAGTCTTGATTCCTCTTCGAGAATTTACATGGATTTCGGGAAATGGTTCATCTTCAGCCTCAGCAGAACCTGCCACGATTCTGCTATCTGGACCATAATCGATGCCAGTCAAAGTTGTCTACTTTGCTATGTTTGCGAAAGGGAGCATATAGCGAGATCCGTTTTTCCACTGCTCTTGCATTTTCTGTGCACTTGCTAACTCCATAACATTGCTTTTTTCCCTTTTAACTACTCAGAAACCTCCCTCCTTGATTTCCATGTCCTGGCGGAAACAAAACTGGCCGGCTGACCATTTGAGTCTGGTCAAACTGGAGTTTAAACCTTCTGATACTGGAACTCATTTGACTCTCACACAGTGCAACGTGCCTGCTTCAGACATGGAGGGTACAAAGACGGGTTGGAGTTCGCACTACTTTATGGGAATCCGAAGGATTTTTGACTGCGGCGGCGGTCGTTTTACCTGAATTTGCCTGTCTGTTTTGTGCTGATGCAATAATGATATGCAATTTGTCGTTCTATCTTTTTCGAGTTCTCTGCGCCGTGACTACCTATCGTAGGGGCAGCGGAGTGGGGAAAGCCAAGCAACGTGGTGGAAGAGGAGCAGATGTGTAGACGCAGCATAACAAGTGAGAGGAAACGTGTTTTGGTTTTTCAATGGTGGGAAGGATATCGGTGTGTTGTATTTGTGTTGCGTTACCGTTAGCCTTGAATGTACTGGTTTTGTGCACCAGTATCCCCGCGCAGAGACGGCCGATTATTTATGTAGCGAGTCTTTAAGCGGGTTTTCTTATTTGACTTAACGATTGTTACCCTAAGGGAGCTGCCCCTTTGCCGTTCACATTTTATGATAATTTTACTGGCAAATCGACGATAGTGATGAAATAATCTCTCTGGTTACCACGAGGGGATTGGATAAGGGCCAAATATTCCGTCAAAGGTGACCTTGACTCTCACGCCCGGTAAACTGCTAACATTTTCGTAATTATGGGTGAAAGGCTTGCTTTGGATGCCTTCCTGACAGGGTCCGCCGAATGAGTATCAAAACAGTGAAGGTTTAGGGTAAATGCGCACGCTCTCGTCCCATATGCACAAAGTAAACCTTGCCTAAGAATAAATATCGCGGTCGGTCAACCAATAAATGCTGACTCTAACTTTGACAAGGGATGCAATTTTCGGCATTCTCCTGGCCTCGATGCAACGATTAGTTCGCATGGACCATCGTCAAGATGAAAATCCCTAATAAGAGTTCCCTGTCGTTTATTTTGCAGACGCGATTATGCTCGTGAACGACTGAAAAGTGGCCAAAGTCCTTGGTTTTGCTCAGCCTCCTTT